CACGTCCCGCCGGGTCCCAGTGCGGTGCCGCGCTCTCGCCCCGCCATGCTCCTGCTGCTGGGGCTGTGCTTGGCGCTGCTCCTCTGCGCGGGGTCGCAGGAAGAGGAGCGGAGCTGGAGCGACACTTCGGAGCAAGTAAGTAGGGGAGCCGCGGGGAGCCGGGCGCAGCCGCGGTCCCTTCCCTCCGCCTCCCTGGGCCGCGTGGCTTCTGGACAGGCTCCCTGCGGCCGATCCTGGACGCGACGAAGGGAGGCATCACCTCCTCTCGTTTCACAGCGTCCCTTTCTCGAACCTTCTGCCCGGGAGTTTCCCCACCTGTCGGTCACCTGGGGGTCACTTCTGCATCATCCGCGGTGCCTGTCATACGCCTGCTTCCTGCAGGATTCAGCCCTGGGCTCCAAAGCCCTGCAGAACCAGGTTTTCTTCTTGGGTCCCATTATTGTTGTTAATTTCTGAGATAGAGCCCCAAGATCTCGGGAGAAAGAACAATCTGGGAAAACTTCCAAACTCCTGGAAGCCTCAGTTTTTCCCGTCTGAAACCCGGTAGAAACCGACTTTCCTATTCAGTTCTTGTCAGTGGCTCAGCAGTTCAAATGTGGCTCATGGTCAGGCCAGCAAAGAGCCGAAGCGTCTCAGTTCCTCTGCTGCTTTCCGTGCAGTTGTCAGGGTTTGTGTTTTAAGTGACCTAGCTTCACAGGTGAATTAACACCTGCGAATATGAAATCGTGACACAACGTCTAGTGAGTGGGAAAACTCTTTGAAAAGTATAAAGCAGGTTCACACAAAACGTTGAGACCGTATGTGCAAAATGGCTCTGTCACAATCAGACAGTGCTGTTTACACACATAAGAGTTATTTAAATGATATTTGAATCGTTTAGCTTAAAGCATGTTTTTGCACTGTGGGAGGAAGATATAAGCAGGCATCCCTTCTCTGTCCCCTTTCCAGCTCCTTGTTTGGAAGAGCAGATCTGGAAGTCAGAATCTGCCTAAATGTCAGATGGTTATTTTCATGCAGACCCTGTCTTATGAATGTGCTTTTCCATAAAATGGAAGTGATGGTAATCATCTCTCGGGGTTGTCAGGAGGAATAACCAATAAAAATCCCAGGAGGCTGAGTGGTGGTGCAGGAGATATGCGGGCTTTGGATCCAGGGAGACAGGCTGTTCTCCACTCTGCCATTGACAGTCATGTGTCCTGAGCAAGCCTTCCTTTCCTTGTGGGTCACAGCAGTGAATGTGCCTCTTTTTGAGCACCCTTCGAGAATTCATAACTTGTGTTATGAATAACATAACTTGTGTTAAGGAGCCAAGCCGGTATACAGTAAGCTGTCAGTGCACGGTAGGTGTTTTCGTAAGTGGTGAGGGCAGGTACCTGGTATCAGGCTGCTGGGTTTGATTCCTGATTCTGTGACTTACCAGCTCTGTGACCCTGGGCATGTTACTCAGTAACTCAACTTCCTCTTCTGTAAAATGTGAAAAATACTAGGGCTGTGAAGATTGAATGAGTTAATACACCTAATGCACTTGAAACAGTGTGGGTGCTTAATGTTAGTGCTTGTTGTTAGGCTTGTGCAGCTGAACTGCTGAGGGAAGTGATTTAGGGTAAAGATGGTGAAACTATTTTAGGGGGTGGAGAGAGAAGAGTGTGGGCAGGACTGAAACAAAGATTCCGTTGATGAACTGGGAAGACCGATTAAAGCTCTAACATCTCCAAGTCCAAGTAGGCTTAACACTAAACTGTCTTTCATAGAAAAACATGGGGTTGGCCCATTGCAGTGATTTCAGACTGTCCTCAACCCACGGCGATATTTAATTATCTTGAAAATGACTAAATCAGGAAAAAAAAATCCAAGGATAAAAGCTCTATGAAAATTTGCAATTTTACCTTTTACTCCACTCTATTTTTTAAAAATTTAGTTTTCGTGACATAGGATTTAAGAGCATGGGCTCTAGCACCAGACTTCCTGGGTTCAGATCCTGGCTGTGCACCTGTGTGGGGAGCTATTTAATGATTATGAGCCTCTATCTCTGCATGGGGATGGTGAGATTATGTAATTAAAAGGATTTTGAAGGGTGAAAGAATTCATATACTTAAATCTGAGAACAGAACCTGGGAATGTAGTTAGTGCTCTATTCTCAATAATTATGGTCTTCAAAAATATAGGTAAACTTGATTTTAAAAATGCAGTAGGATGTGCAAATTTAATGTACCTGAATATGCCTATTAACTTGCAGTGCAATCTTATTTATCTTTATCTTTAATTGGAAATGCACTAATAACACTTTAGATTTAAGTTCCTTCACCCTTCACCCTATAGTGTAGAAACTACTGAAAGCAGTGGTTTTCAATCTTCAGTATATAAAAAGTCGTGGGGGTGTGGTGGGGTGGCGTGCGGTGGTGTAGGGTGGCAGTGTTCTTTAAACATTCAGATTCCTGAGTCCCACTCACATCAATTTAGATACATTAGGTTTGGGGTGGGGCTCAGATGATTCTGATGCAGGAGATCCATGGACCACAATCTTCTAGGAAATTAATATTAAAAAGGAATTCTGTTGTCTGCTACAGGAAGGTCCATGCAGGGGACCCAACCTGTACAGAGGCTGTATTAGAGACCAGGTATGCTGACCACCAAAGCCAAGAGCTCTCAGTGAATCCTCCACATAGCAAGCCACTTTCAGATTTATAATTTAGTTTAATTTGTTTAAATGCAATTTTTATTTGTAGTTCCCAGCACATACATAATGTTCATTTCATGCTGGTCATAATTAAATCATCTATTGTGGAGATACATTTCTATTGCCCTGATTGGAAATCTTTGGATCTTTAAATTTTTATAAATTCTCACTCAGAACCAAATCTTTGCATTTTGGGGAAAAAAAACCCGAGAATCAAGACAACTATTTTTTTAAACTCTTAAAAAATAAAATCGATAAAAGATGTTGTAAGCAGCAGGCCACTCAGTAAGGTCTCCCTTATGTGCATGGATGTGATTGCTGAGATGGAATTGTAAAGTTGAATGGGGAAGGGGGATTTTGTGGGAGAAATTCCAGAGATTTGCTCACTCCCAAACGAGCCATATCTCATTTCTTGGAGATAGAAAATAAGGGTGGGAGCCTGAGAACTGGTGATGAGTTGTACGTGACTTTGTGTTCCTACCTAGCACTTTTCCTAAAGCCTTGTATGCTCAAATTTAAGGAAATCTTGCTTAATGTGCTGTCAGAATTGTAGCTGGGAATGCCTGCAATGTTTCTGTATCCAGGAAACAGCAGGGTCAATTTAGGAGGACAGGGCCACAGGATGAAGACCTGAGCTTTTTTATTTGGGGTGGGAGTGGGGGGTGGGTGGGTGG